AAAAAAAAAAAATAAATAAACTAGGTTTAAAGTCAAAATACACACATGAGAACAATAACCATAAATGATTTAAAACATTGTCCATACTTATCTGGAACCCTGTCCAGATGAGATAATTTTATATCTTTAGAAATATAATTAATACTTTCTTTGGCATCCTTTCTTTTATTTTTAAGTAATATCTACACCCAAACGTGGGACTAGAACCCACAACCCCAAGATCAAGAGTCTAATGCCCTCTGGCCCGAGCCCGCTAGGTAGCCCTGGCATACTTTCTTATAGGCTCTTATTACTTTTGAGAGGTTTTATGATCCCTATGAATGGCAATACAAAACAGTACTCCACTATGAACTTGTCGGTTTCCTTAGCCATTCCAAACAGTTGCCCACTGGTACCATTCCTATTTTGGTTGTTTTCTGGATCTTCTAGTCTACATTACAACTACAAACAACTTTGTGAATCTCAGATGCTTTTTATCATTTGTGCTGTTTATTTTGACCATGGCCCAGGCACCTTGAATTACATACATTAAAATTTCAGGATGAGGTGCCTGGGTGGTTCAGTCAGTTAAGCGTCCAACTTTGGCTCAGGTCACGATCTCATAGTCTGTGAGTTCGAGCCCCACATTGGGCTCTGTGCTGACAGGTTGGAGCCTGGAGCCTGCTTCGGATTCTGTGTCTCCCTCTCTCTCTCTGCCTCCCCTGCTCATGCTCTGTCTCTCTCTCTCAAAAATAAATTTAAAAAATGTTAAAGAAAAAAAAAACAGAAAAAACACTTCAGGACACAGGGGAGTCATTCTTTTGTTTTAAGGAGTACAACATAAGAACTTAATGTACAAGTGCCAACACCCTGGTATAATGTGACTTACTCTGTGTGTTAGCAATCCTGCAAATCTTCAAAATTAAGAGGATTTTCTAATATGCCTTTATCAGCACTCACATGGAAGATAGAAGCACCCACTCATTATGTCATCTATGTACAGAAAAAAAAAAAAAGAGCAGAACATTTTTTAATCCTAGAAACCTGTGCATTATGTTATGACTTGGCTTATCCATTTCTAGGGTTATCGTTTGAAATAGAAATTTTGCCAGGAAATTCTTAGTGCATGACATGCCTTTTTGAAATGTTTTCAGGGAAAAATGAACACCACAGAAGCCATTCGGAATTTTTAAATTAAATGTGTTTATGTAACACAGGTTCAAGAATTTCACCAGTTGGAATCAAATCTGCAAGTATGTCAGTTTCTTGCTGACACTCGCAAGTTTCTTCACCAAATGATCCGAACCATTAACATTAAAGAGGAGGTCCTGATCACAATGCAGATCGTTGGGGACCTTTCTTTTGCTTGGCAATTAATTGACAGGTAATGTGACCAGCCTACCATTTCCCCTGGATGAAGGCCACTGCGGATGTCTCCTTACCATTTCTCTCTCTTCACAGTTTCACATCTATCATGCAAGAAAGCATAAGGGTAAGCCCGTCCATGGTCACTAAACTTAGAGCTACATTCTTGAAGGTAAGCAGAGAACAGTTAGGTCATGTTCTTAGTCACTAGGGAAGAATTGGTCTCCGTTACTACCTCATGCCTAAATTCAGCCCGAGATTTCATTCTTTTAGAAAGTTAGGTAATTTGGATCACCTGGGTGGCTCAGTCGGTTGGGCGTCCGACTTCGGCTCAGGTCATCTCGCGGTTCGTGGGTTCGAGCCCCACATCGGGCTCTGTGCTGACAATTCAGAGCCTGGAGCCTGCTTCGGATTCTTTGTCTCCCTCTCTCTCTGTCCCTCCCCCACGCGTGCTCTGCCTCTGTCTCTCAAAAATAAATAAACATTAAAAAAAAAAGTTAGGTAATTTAAGTATTTTTATAAACTGAAAATTGTTAGTTTTTCCATGAGAGCAAAGTTTGAAAAGATGCCACGCATATTGGAAGTTTCAATTAATACAAGTTGGATGTCTTATAGAAGGTAGTGTTTACATTAAAAAATACGTGTTTTCAAGTTTTACCAGTATGCTAAAAGTGTGGGTCCTTTTTTCCCTAGATGTGAAGTAAGTCCTTTTAGTTACTCATTTAAAAAAACTCTTGTTGAGCCTCTGCTACAAGCTAGGATCCCCTCCAAAGTTTAGGGAACAGTGGTGGACAATTCAAGTATAGCTGTGCTCCCAAGATAATTCCAGATCGAGATAAATGAACAAAAATTTACTCAGCGTCTTCTGACAGAGTTACCTCATGTATCAGTTCTGAGATGCACTTTCTTTCGTATTTAAAAATCTCTCTAGGGGCGCCTGGGTGGCGCAGTCGGTTAAGCGTCCGACTTCAGCCAGGTCACGATCTCGCGGTCCGTGAGTTCGAGCCCCGCATCGGGCTCTGGGCTGATGGCTCAGAGCCTGGAGCCTGTTTCCCATTCTGTGTCTCCCTCTGTCTCTGCCCCTCGCCCGTTCATGCTCTGTCTCTCTCTGTCCCAAAAATAAATAAACGTTGAAAAAAAAAAATTAAAAAAAAAAAAATCTCTCTAATTGGGGATGGGTTTTATAACTGACAGCACATCATAGTTCACCATAAGCATGTTCGCTTCTTTCCGAGTGGCACAGAAAATAATGGCACTTCTTCCATGCTGTGACCTCTCAGATTGGAGTGAGTACAGTCAGCCATCAGTCACAGCGTCTGATTTCCATAGAAGAGTAGCTGCCTTCTGGAACACAGTGGCTCTCAAACTTGAGGGGCATCAGAATCACCTGGGGGGGGCACCTGAGGGACTCAGTCAGTTAAGTGTCTGACTTCCGCTCAGGTCACGATCTCGCTGTTCATGATTTCGAGCCCCGCGTCAGGCTCTGTGCCGACATCTCAGAGCCTGGATCCTGCTTCAGATTCTATGTCTCCCTCTCTCTCTGCCCCTTCCCTGCTTGTGCTTGCGCTCCCCCCCCCCCACCTCAAAAGTAAATAAGCATTAAAAAAAAAAATTGGCATCTGTAACAAGTCCCGGCTGATGCTGATGCTGATGCTGCTGGTCTGGGGGCCACAATTTGAGAACCACTACCAAAGCAGATGACTGTCGTTTTTTTAGAAAGTGTATCATTGTCAGAAACTATTTGATGAGTCAGTGGTTGTTGCATTATCTTGGGTAAAGCCCCAGAGCTTTGTTGTATGTTACTATTTCTGGAAAGAGATTTCTAGGACTTCTGGAAATGGAGAAACACATGTACCTACTTTTCTTGCAGCTTGCCTCTGCCCTCGATCTTCCCCTTCTTCGTATTAATCAAGCAAATAGTCCTGACCTTCTCAGTGTGTCTCAATATTACTCTGGTGAATTGGTGTCCTATGTGAGAAAGGTGAGAAATGCATCAAGGTGACATTTATTTTATTGGCAAACTGACTGCTCTTCTAAATACAAAGAGGATGCTTGGGGCCCTATGAAAAGTATACCCGTGTTCCTTTCCCTTATTCTTAACTTGATTCCAGAAACTTGCAATACCTGAAAATAAACTTACTCTTACTGGTATTGTGGATATGCAGATGTGTTTTTACTTTCAGGGAACTTTTGCACCTGTTTTTAAGTGCTGGTGGTATTAACTCCCATTCTGCGCTTAACAGAAACTGAGGAATAGAGATTATATTGGCTTCTTTAAAGTCACCGAGCTAGTTGGTAAAAGAACCGGATCTAGATCCAGCACATCCTAGTTGGAGCTGTAAGTTTTCCCGGGAACTTTGGTCCTCGTTTCAGTAACTTACGGTGCAGCGTGGAGCCAGGCGGACCTGGCTGCAAAATTTCGCTGTGTCACCTGCTGACTGCGCCACGGCCACGTTACTTAACATCTCCGAACCTCAGTCTTTTACAAGTTTATAACGAGGAAAAGATACATCTTTTTGCTGCACGTATATGGGGATTAGCTGTGTATCTTGTGAGCAATTGCTGCACGTGTATGGGATACATCTTTTTGCTGCTGTGTATCTTGTGAGCAATTAACGTTTCAAAGAATGTAGCCGTGGGCCTGAGAGCAGATATTAAAGTACCTCCTTACGTCCCTTCCCGTCCCTTTCTGTAGATAAATGCCTGTGTGTACAAGGTGGTGCTGTCTTAACTGCCATCCTGGCATTTATCAGCTAAGAAAAATAAAAGACATATCCAACTGTTTTCCTTCTTTTCTCTTTCACTAAAGGTTTTGCAGATCATTCCAGAAAGCATGTTTACTTCGCTTCTAAAGATCATAAAGCTTCAGACCCACGATATCATTGAAGTGCCAACCCGCCTGGACAAAGACAAACTGAGGGACTATGCTCAGCTTGGCCCACGATACGAGGTGGCGTGTCCCTTTAACTTCTGCCTTTTGATGATTTAAAACCCAAACCACGATGTGTCACGGGTCTGTGTCGCCTGCCATATCCCTAGGAGCGCCAGACCAATTATGATTTGTCTTTTCCTACTCTCCTGTGATAGCTTCATTCGTTACCGCGTCCTGGGTTATTTCAGGCCTTGCCTGCCTGAGTGTTCTCAGAGGACGGGGAGCTCAGCTGGCCTCTTTTCTCCGTGAACAGTCCTGATGAACCAGCCCTTCTTCTCTTTGGGTTAGATTGCCTAGACCTTTTGCATTCGGGTTCCTGCTTTGTACATCAGATCAATGGCTCAAAGTAATCTGGATTCCATTAAACCATTTCCTACAGCCAGACTGTGAAGCCTCTCAATAAGTAAGCAGCCCCAGAGGTGGTTCCTCCCAAATACCTCTGCTTTTCTTTCTCCTGAACTTAAAATTAAAGATGTGAAAAAAGTGAAATCAAGTGGAAATTGACATTATGAAGTCCACTGTCATCACCTTTCATCCCAGCATCAATTTCTACCACCTCTGACACAGCTCCAAAAAATTGCATCAGGAATTTCAATCTGCAAGCTTGAAATTTACATATTTATTCTAACTCAAAAACACAGCACCTGTCTACCATACCAGTGCCTCCCGGTGTGGCTTGAAAAAACTCGTAGAAAGCGTAAAGATTAACTTTTTAGACTCTTGGTGAGCCTTTTCTACTTGGAAAGGACCATCCATCTCATTGAATCCTGCCTGCTTTTTATGTGTGAGAAACTGAGGCCCAAAGAAGGGGAGATGATTGGTCAGTGTTTAAGAACTATTTCATGTCTGCTGACCCTGCCCAGCATGTCTAATGGCAGTGCCTTGCTTACACCACAGCACCTCATTTCTGACCGGGGCCCATCACTCCCACTGTCTTTGTTCATTTCAGGCTGTCAGCCAATTATTTTCACTTCCCTTAGAAAGGATGGGTCTTTTATCTGAAGTACTTCATTAACTTTTTTTTCTTTGTTAAAGGTTGCCAAGCTTACTCACGCTATTTCCATTTTTACTGAAGGCATCTTAATGATGAAGACAACTTTGGTTGGCATCATCAAGGTAATGGCTTTGATACTCATCCACGTGGCCTTGTAGTAATAAGACTCTTAGTTTGGATCACCAGGGTGTTTCTCCCATGGGGAACAGGGAAGGCGATTGTCATCTTGGGTCCCTTACTATTTCACATGCAGCTCTCCATCTTCATTTTACTCGTGTGTTGATGGAGGAAGGGAGAGCATTATAATCCTGATTTTTCATCATGCCCAAGAGTTACTTAAATCTAAGAAAAATCCATTTTATTGAATTTTTTTATTAAAAACATTTTTTTATCATTTATTTTGAGACCGAGAGAGTAGGGAAGGGGCAGAGAGAGGGTGAGAGAGAGAATCCCAAACAGGCTCCGCACTGTCAGTGCAGAGCCCCATTCGGGGCTTGAACTCACAAACCATGAGATCATAACCTGAGCCAAAGTTGGATGCTTAACCCGCTGAACCACCCAGCCACCACTTATTGAATTTTTGTAATAATGAAACAAAATAGTTCGTTTCCCTTTGGCCAAACAGCTGGCTCACTCTCTCCCACCCTTCTTTCCTTTTAGTATTTTTATATTGCATCTCAGGTGCAGAGAGCTGAGCTGATCCTAACCCATCGTCATTGTCTGGCCATTGTCCTCACTGATGCGTGCTCGTTCCTCTCTTCATCCTTCCTTTCTCATCTGGACACCCATTCCCATTTCCATCCCCAATAGCACCCGCTCTATGTGTTTGATTTCTGCCCCTAAAGAGGCAAGTAATCCCGTATTTTAAACATGAGGTGTTACTTTATGTGTGCGTGTGTTTGATTTGTCTACATCATATTGTACTCTAAGGCTCATTCTTTTTTCCAACTCTTCTCGCTAGTTATTGCTTTTGAAATTTGTTTGTATTGCTGTAGGTTGGACACTTGGTTACTTCTTACTGCTGTGTAGAATTGTACATTTTACTTAACCATTCTCCAAGACCCAGGCACCTATGTTGTCATTTTCACTCCAACGCTCCCCATTGTCATGAGCATCTCTGAACATGTCCCTGCTGTAGGGCCTGTGTCTGAAATCTGACTCCCCAGGTGTGGATCACTAGGTCTTAGGGTGTATTTATACTTAATTTCTCTCAGTACTGCCAGATTGCCTTCTGAAATGACTGTTTCTCTGGTGTCTGTCCACATTTTTGACAATATGTGTTACTATCTATGTTTTAGTTTTTGCTCCCCAAAGAGTATAAAGTGTTATCTCCATACTATTTTAATTTGTAATCCTATGATGACTAGAGATGTGCCCATTCACAGAGTTCATGGTGCTTGTATTTCTTTCTCATTTATCAGACATCAGTAGAATCTATATATTTCTGATTTTTATTTTAAAAAATGTGTGTCTATTGAATTGCCAGATTAACACTTATGTTAATAAAATCCAAGAAAACCTAAATAGAAATGAAACTTTAGTGTATGGTTTCTGGATGTGTGCTGAAATACCATTGTAGTCCTAGAATATTCACAGAACCCACTGAACATCCTTTAGACCTGATGCCAGTTTAATTCAGTTGATATGCAAAGAGTATACATGGAGGTAGTCACTTCTTACTAATCCATAAAGTGGTGATAAATCCTGGGACCAGATTAAGCATCTTACATGCAAAATGACCAGTACAGAAAAGGTATAATACCTCATAATCAACAATAATTATCAAAAGAGAACCTGCTTATGAAAAAGGCAGATCTTTTGCTATAGTCTTTCAGATGAGAGCCAGGGAGAATATCATCTTGACCATATTCAACCCAGTAGACTTTCTCTGCCAGTCTAACAGTTCAGCTTTCGGTAACAGATCCGGTGGCCCTCACAAGTCTTCAGCCAACTAATGTTAAGCATCTATTTCAGACATTTATAAAATGTGTAACTGTCCTTTAATCCATATGACGTAAAACAAGTGAGATATACACAGAGATGTATGTATAGATGTTCATTGTCAGTGGTAGCCATACAAAAAAAGAATAGAAATAATCTAAGCATTTATCAGTGAGAGAATGGCTGAATATATCATGGTGTGTTCCTACTGGAGATTGTTTGGCTGCCGTTCAAAAAGCTTTTACCACTTGGGGCGCCTGGGTGGTTAGCCTCTGACTTCGGCTCAGGCCACGATCTCACAGTTCGTGGGTTTGAGCCCCACATCAAGCTCTGTGCTGACAGCTCAGAGCCTGGAGCCTGCTTCCGATTCTGGGTCTCCCTCTCTCTCTGCCCCTCCCCCACTCGCACTCTGTCTCTGTCTCTCAAAAAGAAATAAAAGTTAAAAAAAAGCTTTTACCACCAAAAGATTTCTAAAATTTAAAGTGGAAAAAGCAAATTGCAGAACAGTGTGTGTGTGTGTGTGTGTGTGTGTGTGTGTGTATACATACGTATTATGGTCCCATTTAGACTTTTTAAATTAACTATGTATTGAGGACAATATTTATGTGTAGAAATTAATAGAGAAAGGTCTGGAGGATCCATGTGAAAAGGGTTAACTGTTATTAACTTCAGAGGAGGGGATAGAAATGTGAGGGAAGGGGCTGTGTGCAAGGGGCATTCTCTAAGCTGCAAGCACTCTATAGATTGGTGAAAGGTTTAGAAAATTGGAAGGACCATTTAAGACCTTTGTTTTCTTGAAAACAGTTAACTCTTTTTCACTAAATCTGTTTTTTTTTTAATAAAGAATCTTTTTTTTAATGTTTATTTATTTTGAGAGAGAGAGCATGCACATGTGTGTGCATGTATGCGAGTGGCAGGGGGGGCAGAGACACAGAGAGAGAGAGAGACAGAGAGAGAGAATATCTCAAGCAGGCTTGGCGCCATCAATGCAGAGCTGATCTCAGAGCCTGAACTCACAAACCATGAGATTGTGACCTGAGCTGAAATCAACACTTGGATGCTCAACCGACTGAGCCACCCAGGTGCCCCTCACTAAATCTGTTCTTTATAAGGAGTATTTCTTTGAAAACATCATGTTACTTCTTTGATTTCTTTTTCCTCGTTGATTATATCTAGTTATAATTTACCTTTGTATTGTGAAATAGGGCACAAATACTCAAAGCTGTAGATCCATTTACATAGTTTAATGGGTTATTACAACCACCACCCAAGCCAAGAAACATAATTTCCCAGCTCCTACCCCAGGATCCTCCTCATGTGCCCTGACCTAATCCTAGTCTCTCCATTTAGAGTTTTATTATCTAAAGTCAATCTGTGGACACTACATTTAAAAAAAAATACATTCTGTCTTTTAAGTCTTCAGGTTTCTCCTCCATTCTTTTCCTTTCTCACAGTTTATCTGGTCAGGAACCCACAGCCTCTGACTTGTTGTTTGTCCGAAGTCTGGCTTTTGCTGATTGTATAGTCATGGTGTAGCTCAGCATGTTTCCCTGGCTCTTGTATTTTGTGTAACTTTCGTTGCAATTGCCATTCTTAAAGTTTAAATATAATCAAACCCAGATGGAACCCATCCGTTTGTCTTTATGACTTTTAAAAGTAATGGTACCTTGCAAATTAAAAATATAAGAAACAAGTTGCAGGGAATTTCAAGGGATTATGTTAAAACTATTTGATGTTTTCTGGATTTGACAGGAGACTGTCTTTTAGGGAATAATGGATGCTTTCTCATTATAGAAAAAAGAACCAGCAAAATCAGCTTATAGAGGTAGATAGCAGATTTGCCTTCCTGTTTTATCTCCCTAATTACAAACAGCATTCCAAGAATGCTGGAAGAAAAGAGAATTGTTAAGTCTGTCCAACCCCACGTTTGGGCTTGCTCATGCGGATGTAGGTGGCGTCTGGAAGAAAGGCAAGGCCAGGCCGTTCATTCCCCTCTGCTCCTGGTGAGAAGAAAAGGCACTTTTTACTTTTAATGAAATGATTAAAATGAGAGAGGCACTTTAAAATTCTTCATACCCACCATCTTTGGGATGTCATGTTGTAAAATTACCATCATGAATTTTACGGAGGCCAGCCGAGTCCTAAAGAGGTGACAGGTTCAACAATTCTGTCCAAGATGCACAAGATCAAAGAGACGGGAAAGGAGAAAAGTCCCAATCATTGGGAAATGGGGTGGGAAAGTGCTTCCCTGCAGATTCCAGAAACTGTCTTTCCTTTGGATTTCGTCATGGCTGAACTTTTCCTCACGGCCATTTATTGCTTTTTGGTTTGCACGTAGGTGGATCCAAAACAGTTGCTGGAAGATGGAATAAGAAAGGAGCTAGTTAAACGTGTTGCTTTTGCTCTTCATAAGGGACTGATCTTCAACCCCCGAGCCAAGGTACCAGATGACCACGTGGGTCTGTCCTTTCTCTCTGCCCAGCTTGCAGAACTGTCGTGAACAGCACCTTTCCTCCTAACACATACCTGATATATGATGGTCAGCGCAATACACTGATGTGTTTTTTGATCCTATGTTGTAATCCTTTCTTATGATAAGAAAATCCTTACCAGAACCAGCCCTTTCCTTGTTGATCCCCCAATTTAAGAATTGAACGGATGTCTGTGATTCTGGGTCACTTCTTAAAAGAATTTCTTAACCCTAAAGCAGATCAGGACTATGAAGCCTGTAATTTTTTTTTTTTAATTTTTTGAATGTTTATTATTTGAGAGAGAGACAGAGACAGAGAGCAAGCAGGGGAGGGGCATAGAGAGAGGGAGACATAGAATCCGAAGCAGGCTCCAGGCCCTGAGCTGTCAGCACAGAGCCTGATGATGCGGGGCTCGAACCCACAGACCACGAGATCATGACCTGAGCTGAAGTCAGCACCCAACCGACTGAGCCACTAAGGTGCCCCTGGCCTGTAATTTTTTATTTGCCTTGACCTAACAGATCATTTTTCTCAGGAGGAAAACAAAAATGGGCCTAGAACTTGTATCTAGGGTTCTTTTCACTCCAGTAAATTCAATTTAAAATATTTTAAGTATTTGAAGGTTGGATGTATTCATCAAATGACATGAGAGAAATCATCAACGTTCATTTTCCATATTCTTTTGTGTGAGACTCCCCTCCCAAATGAACGAAACCTCTTCTTTGCTGAATGTCTGAGCACTCATGCTGGATGAGGTAGGAAATGCTCTCTTAAACTCTCACTGTGTTGTAGAGAGGGGTCTTATTTAAAGTCTAATGTAGATATTAGTGGTTGACAGTCTACCCCAGTGTAATAGATTTGTGTTTCCTCTTTTGCACAGCCAAGTGAGTTGATGCCCAAGCTGAAAGAGTTGGGGGCTACCATGGATGGATTCCATCGCTCTTTCGAGTACATACAGGACTACGTCAACATTTATGGTCTGAAGATTTGGCAGGAAGAAGTTTCTCGTATTATAAATTATAATGTGGAACAAGAGTGTAATAACTTCTTAAGAACAAAGGTATCTAATTAAATTGTAAAATTCTGGACCGTATTTGTTATTCAGACATTTAAAATACACGCCCTGAACCTCAGAAATAGCAATAAGAAAATTTATTTAAATAGTTACTAAAAATCGGTTAGCATTAGATAGTCACAGATCCCTTCAGAGTACATTCAGGAGCCGTGAGGGTTCCGGAAAAGTTTATAGGACACCTGACCTCCAAGAGTTTACCATCCTAAGGAGGAGGGAGATGTAATTAAATGGCCACAGAATGAAGCTGTTGTAAATGTCATAACTCCCGTGATCAAGAGTTCAGAAGGCTTGATCAAGGAGTTCGGTTGGCCTGATCGGAGTATGCACATAACAGCAGAATTGCTGGGTCATGTGGCAATTCTATGTTTACCTTACGGATGAACCACCAGACCACTTTCCACAGCACCTGCAGCATTTTTCATTCTTTCCAGCAGCATCTGAGGGTTCTCATTTCTCCATATCCTTGCCAACGCTTCTTGTTTTGCTTTTTTAAAAAAATTCTAGACGTCCCCGTAGGGGTGAAAGGGTATCTCATTGTGGTTTTGATTTGCATTTCCCTGGTGACTAATGATGTTGGGCGTCTTTTCGTGTGCTCATTCACCATTTGGATGTCTTCTTTGGGAAAATGTCTACTGAAGTCCTTTGCCTATTTTTTAATTGGGTCGTTTGAACACCAGATTCTTAAGTGTCATGGCTGAGAAGTTTGATTTTTAGTCAGTAGTTGACAAGGAGTAAGTTTTTGATTAGGGAACTGACGTGATTCAGGTGACGTTTTTGAAGGATTAAGCATCTTCCAGCCTTGTGATATTTTGGAATCTTATTATCATGTCGATGCATGTTAACCTAGAAGACAAAAAGCCAGAAATTCCCATCTCTCTTCTAACTTCTCCTCAGTCACTTCACTTTTCACAAATATTTCTTCTTTTATAAATGTTACATGTAGCATTTCTCGGGGGCTATTACCCCAGTTTTAAGTTTTTTTCTTCCAAACCAAGGAGCATTTATTGTCACTGTTTATGCAACATCATATTTGTAAAACTAGGTAGAAAAAAGAATAACTGGTTATCTTATCAAAGACGTACGGTTGACCCTGGAGTAGCACGGATTTAAGCTGCATGGGTTCATTTTGAGCTGCAGGGGTCCATTTATACACTGGTTTTTCCCAACAGATACAGTACAGTACTGTAAAATGTATTTTCTCTTCCTTATGATTTTCTTAACATTTTTCTCTAGCTTATGTTGTACAAATACAATGTATAATCCATTTAACATACAAAATATATGGTAATGGACTATGTTATTGATAAGGCTTTTCTGGTCAACTGTAGGCTATTAGTAGTTAAGTGTTAGGTGAGTCAAAAGTTGTATGTGGATTTTCAACCGTGTGTGGGTCAGCGCCCTAGCCCCTGTGTTGTTCAAGGGCCCACTGTACTAAGTGTTCATGGTTTGGTTTTGTTTTGTTTTGTTTTGTTTCTAGATTCAGGACTGGCAGAGTATGTACCAGTCTACTCATATCCCAATACCAAAGTTTACCCCTGTGGATGAGTCTGTAACATTTATTGGTCGACTCTGCAGAGAAATCTTGAGGATCACAGACCCAAAGTAGGTGTATCTAAACTCCACTGGGCCTTGAAAACTGTGGACGATAGAAGTCTCTGAACATCTTCCTCAAATCACACCCTTGTTCCTACTACACTTGGATCTAGTGGGTTTATTAGAGTCACTTTTTTTGAGACTGGGTATGTTCTGCAGTGGGACTAAGGAGACCCCAGTCCAAGGAAATGGAGATCAAAATAACTTTCAGGTCTGTTCAGCCACCTTTTAGTTTTATGTTCTTCTCACTTTCCAACTAACATTCTACTCACTTGGGCCTGCAGACTCCCTAGTATGTTAAAACTTTTTTTATTACGGATTTGCTCATCTGTACCTGTAACTGTGGCACACTCCTCCATTCCAGCCACCAGGTCTTACATTTATCAGACCCTGACCTTTGGAGATTACCCCCACACCCATGCACTTGTGTAACATTTACCTTGTACACACTTTTCAGCACATTGTACACATCCCTGATACTCTCTGACATCTCTGACATAGGCAGCCATCTCTGACATAGGCATTGTTATTCTTCCCATGTTAAAGGGAAGTAACTGAGGCTTAGTAAAGCTAAGTCACTTGCCCAAGATCTGGGTCTAAATGGTAGATCCAGAATACACACCAGCCCTCTGACTCCAGGGCCCAGCTGTTAAGTGCCGTGCTGTTAAGGGCGGGCTGCATAGCTTTGCATACAGTGGATCACAGTTTATATACACAGTCACATGAGTGAACATCTCCTGTGGTCAAAACCACCCTTAAGAATATTTTAGGTGGGTACCATGGGAGACCCTTGCACACTCCTTCCCTCATTACGTCTCATTTTCCTTCTCCTTCTCAGTTGAGCTTCTGATGAGGTAGTCGGTACGAAGCCCAGCTGAAGGAAGGGCAGGCTCACGTTTTCTGTGTCCTGTCTACCCCTGTGCACATGCTCACTGAGTAGAATGGTTGGTGGGATTACCCAGGAAAAGAGGACTTCTCTTCTTTCTCTGTCCAGCTGTGCATGCATAGTTGAATTTGTGTAAGCTAAATGGCCTTATGACATGTCTCCTTTGTACAGCCTTCAAATTCTGGCTTATTTTATCTCTTCAAAAGTTATGCAACTTGGCACACTATATGTAAACTTCTTCCAAAAGTTACAGCATAAATCAACTTTGTCTGTGACTCATGGGCCAAAAGGAGTAAATGATCCAAAACATTTTGTAACACCTGCTTTCTGGGTACCCACGGCTGGGTCACCGAAGCCCTTCTAGAAGACTATCCACCTAATGCCATGTTAAGACTTGTAGGAAGGATTAAGCATGCTTGGGATTTCCATGTCATGTTATTGGCTTACTCATCGACATGGGGAGCTTCTCAAGTGACACATTCAGCCTCTCCAGTGCCAGCCCTGGGTGATCGAATCAGGACTCTCCGAAGCCTTAAAGTAGGATGCAGTTCTGGAAATCTTGTTCTTCCCATTTACTTCCAAATGTAAGCTTCCTTCTTTCCCGTGCCTCATTTCTTAAAGATATGTCCTTAAAGGTGTGTCTTAGAACTGGGGGGGCGTGTCGTCTGTGGAGTTTACTGGAATTTCAGAGGCTGGGCTTCCACCCCAGACCTGCTGAGTCAAACCCCAGGAATGGGATCTGGGCACATATTTTTAAGTGATCGAAGGTCCCCGTGCCAGCACTTGAGAACAGAAAGATGCTGGTTAAGGATACGGTGTTGGAATCAGGCCTCGCTCTGTTGTGTCGTCTGTAAAACAAGGGTCACACAGCTCATGTATTGCAGAGCCATGACGACAATGACCCCGAAGAGCACAGAACCTGACGCCGAAGAAGTGCTCAGTAAATACCATTGGTTGTTAGCATTGCCGTCCGCGCACTCCTGAGTCTAAAAGGAATCATTGGTTGGTGACCAGAACTGGGAGGAGAGACGAAAGGTCTTTGTTGCCATAGTCACAGATGTTTGATAGGGCAGCAGGATTCAAAGTTCTTTTCTTATCAAAGTGGAAATGACACGAGCCTCTTACATCCCGATCTTTGGGAATTTAAGGAAAGACGCCGTGGAGCGAAAACTGGGCGCTAATGCCTTCCAGCCTGACAGCCAAATCCGACCTTGGCCTCTCCGCTCAGCTCCAAACAACAGTCCAATTCAGTGGAAATGAATTAGTCCAAGCGGTGACCTGGCATAGGGCAGGAAATGGTGATTTCATTGAATTTTGCCTTCCTGGCCCATTGGGCATTCACCGTGAGATACACTGGGTGCCTGGACGCAGACATTATTAAACGAATCACGTCATGTCATCCCTTATATCTGGTGCCCAAATCCTGTTACGTCCCCCATCTCCTCAGGATGAACTCTGAGCTGCTTTTGGGTTTTGAGTTTTTTGTCTTTCTTTTAGAATGACATGTCACATTGACCAGCTGAACACTTGGTATGATATGAAGACTCACCAAGAAGTGACCAGCAGCCGGCTCTTCTCAGAAATCCAGACCACCTTGGGGACTTTCGGTCTGAACGGGTTAGACAGGCTTCTGTGCTTTATGATTGTCAAAGAGCTACAGGTGAGCCTTTCGGCCTTCATGCATGGTTCCTGCTACCCTGGGAGAGATTTAACTTTTCTTTCATGCTTTCCTATCCTGACACGAGGCACACACATACATGCTTCTTGTCGGGTAGATAAGAATTGAGAATAAACTAGAATTTCCTTGGCCAACACAGTAGTTTTTCGGGTGGACCGGTTTTGAGAGTTTCATGTGGGGAAGTTGAGACTCTTTGAAACCAACAACTCCTCCGAGCAAGGGGTATTTCTAACAGGACCTAGAAGTTGCCATTTCCCTGTCACCCTTTATAACATTTTATGACTTAGCCCAGGCTGTGTTCCATATACATTTGAGTTCATTGGAGTGTTGTTCATTTTGTTCATTATGTTTGGTTCTTCTGTTGTGTCTTCGTGTTTTAGAATTTCCTCAGTATGTTTCAGAAAATTATCCTGAGAGACAGAACTGTGCAGGATACCTTGAAAACCCTTATGAATGCTGTCAGCCCCCTAAAAAGCATAGTGGGTAAGTGTTCTGAAACCAATCTGAGATGGAGGTAACACTAGCTTTTCCAGATTTACTAAATAGAAAATTTTATTTTCACCTTTCAGCAAATTCGAATAAAATTTATCTTTCTGCCATTGCCAAAACACAGAAGATTTGGACAGCGTATCTCGAGGCTATAATGAAGGTATGTTATGGGAGAGAGGGTGATCATCAGTACTGTATTTTTTCAACTATTATCTTCTTGTAACTTTGTCACCCAAAGAAAGCTACTCTTCTTTCTTGCGTCATCAAAGCAAAAATACAACACTTCAGTTTATCATTATTTCTAAGTTCATTTGTCCTTTATCTTCCTTTCTGGGCTGTTCTCGAGTATGTTTTCATTTATGTGGCCCATCGTTTTGCTTAACCTGAAGAAAGCAGCTTCTTTCTGGAACGACCTGGAGCAAGAAGTGCTTTCACACTAGGAGATGGAAACCTTCCTCCCTCAGGGGTGCTCCGTCCTGAGGTGTGACAGGTTTATTTACTGAGCGGCTCTGTCAGTGTCCAGCCCTGGTCCTCTCCAAGTAGGTGCTAGAACAGGACATTTGCCTCTCTCCCCTCTTGTGTCCGCACAGATGTTACAAAGCCAAGTTCTCTAGGACACAGGTTATCCTTACACTCTGCAGAGAACACCGGGTCTTTGGAAACGAGTAAGAAAGTGAGGTGAAGAGATTAACATGGCGGATGGAAATCCAAGTCACTTTAGGAGTCGCTCATCTGTGCTCCTGCCTTCACGCTGTGGCATTGGCTTTGCGTGTTCCGCGTGTCTTTCTCTCATCACATGATGATCCAAGACCTTCAGCAACGCTTTGTCGAACACTCGTGTGCAAATCATTGTCACGTGCTACGAGACAGAGTTGAAGGAAACACTAGCTGCCCCCCTCAGAAAGCCTACGTACTGTCTCGTAGGAAAGAGGAGGTTTCCTGGTGGAAAACTAATCCATGGTTACAGACATCACCTACCACAGGAAAAGTGTAGGCTGCTGTGGGAATTTGCGGAAGTTCCATTCTCTTGTTCCCAATTCTGTTAGTTGTTCGTTGAGACAGTACTCGTGGTGCCTCAGCCAAATTCACAATATATTTCCCATAATTGCAGTGAAAAAAAAATGTGTTTTAATTTGGAAACTTAGATTAAGTAACACACAGAGCCTCTGGCTCTGCTGGATGTCCTCTTGTTCCATGTCTGGACGTCCCTTAGCCACGTGATGTCCAGGTATTGAGAGCTTCTCAGGCTAAGTTTCTAATTGCTGGAAAGCTTTCAGGAGGAATGGAGAATTACCTGAGGTCGGACAGGCCTGAGTCTCACCTCTGTGGGAGGCTGAGGGAGGTTGCAGGGATGCGTCAGAGAGGTTCCCTAGTGGCTCTTACAGACCTCTGTGAGTCGTAATTGCTGGTCCTTCAGTAATCACCCAAGTATTTCGGCAAGTCAGTGCTCTTTACATAAAGCCCTCAAAGGACCAATGTGTCCTTTTGTCTTTTGCTGATCTGGAACAGTGATGGAGATATTCTGCACTGTTTGCTGGTAGCCATTGGCCCCATGTAGGTACTGAGCGCTTAAGACATGGCTTGTGGGAGTGAGGAACTGAATTTTAAATTTTATTCATTTAAATCCGTTTAAATTTAAATAGCCGTATGCGGTTGTGGCTGCCCTATCCGTGCAACTCTAGAGAAACGGAGAAAGATGACAACCCAAAGATCTCTCTAGATAGGTAGATAGCATCACCTCCCAGTCTCCTTAGTCTCTCCAGAATCTTCTTAAAGGCTTGTAGTAGGTGAGCACCGAAGAGAAAATGTTGGTCACTGAGATTCAATATTTAAATAAGAGTAAGTTAGGTTAAACTGCCTTTACTTCTGTTTCCATTTCTAGATTGGTATTTTCAAGGGAATCCTGGACATAGAGTAGAATTAAGAGGGAATTACGTGGCAGAGCAGGGGTGTGGGGGGCACCTGGGTGGCTCAGTCGGTTAAACATCCAACTTCGGCGCAGTCGTGATTTCATGGTTCGTGAGTTCGAGCCTCATTTCAGACTTTGTGCTGACAGCTCAGAGCCTGGAGCCCGCTTTAGATTCTGTGTTCCCATCTCTCTCTGCACCTCCCCTGCTCACACTCTCTCGTTCTCTCTGTCAACAATAAACATTAAAAAGAAGGAATTACATGGGGCAGATAAAGTTGAAAGGACATTTTTGAGTGGCCTGATGGGAACCCACTGTCTTCTTGGCCTTGCCCTATTCTAATTTTTAAATAATAGTATTTTTCTATTTCTAAAGGTTTCTTATAAAAACATTTTTTGGATTTTATTTTTTTCATGTAAGTAGAATAATAATCTAGTAAGAATAGTGGCCAAAAGTAATACATCTGAGGCCATTTAACGCTTTTAACTGTTACGAGCTCCATTTATCTAAATATCTTTTCTTTGCTCTTCGGGAAGGCCCCTCTTTTTTTCTTAACCTTTCTATGCTGCCAACCACTCAGAGGAAATGTGTCTATTCCTCCCTCACCATTGCTAACATTATAAAACACCTTCCCCCTATTCCTCCTCCTCTGTCTCTCTTGCTAATCTTTTGGGGATAGCTTCCCTAGAACAGACAAGAAGGAATTCACTGGCACAGAAAGTTACAGTCTACTTTTGACTTCCTGATGCCAACAACTGGGACTTTGTTGGAATGATGTGAACTCCGCCCCAGACCTGACCAGAGGTACTTTCCTGTCACCTGGCAGGGGTCCTAGACGTCTCCGCGTATCGCTTATGCTCATCACTACTCGGAAATTACATGCTTGATCCACCACGCTAACATAATTCTGTATCACAGATCTCTTCTTTGAATAGTTTGAGAATTACACTTGGTTACAACTGGCTGCCATTGTTACCCTTCATGTTTTATTTTGCACATTTAAAAGAATTATTCTGGGGCGCCTGGGTGGCTCAGTCACCTCAGCGTCTGACTTCGGTTCAGGTCATGATCTTAAAGGTTTGTGGGTTTGAGCCCCACGTTGGGCTCTGTGCTGACAGCTTGGAGCCTGGAGCCTGCCTCTCTCTGCCTCCCCTCTCTCTGCCATCCCCTGCTCATGCTCTGTCTCTGTCTCTTAAAAAATAAACAATAAACATTAAAAAAAAAAAAA